ACTTTTCTCATGGTCTTGGGCATTCTTCGCCTGTTGCGATGATAAAAGTTTAAAATAAGCGTCGTAACTGCTAGAGAAGCCCCAATTTCTAACATGATTGCAAAGTAAAACTGCCCAAGCAGAGGAAAACCGTATGATGGCATAAGCTCGGAACTGAGTTGTTGAAACACCGTCATGGCCAAAAGAACTGTGATACTCAGTCCAATGCGTTCACCGGACTCAGGTGGTAGAACAAACCCTAAAAATATCATGGAAGAGATCAGTGAGCATGGAATAATCAACTTTAGGATGTAATCCAGTGATTCCCGTCTGATATGCACATTTATTGACACATCCACAAACTCGTGCGGACAGCACTGATATTTCAGAGCGTTCCTCTTCACAGACAAATTCAGCAGTTGCCATTCGCCATTTTTGATGTAGTAGCTGTTAAGGGTGCTGCCGTTTTTCACTGCTAAATCGATCTTCGATTTATCGAAAGCCCAAGAGCCAAATTTGAGCAGACATTCCTGGTCATCGAAAGGAAAGTTTGTGACATCCACACTACAGATGCTCTTGAACATGGCGGGGTTTAACCACGTGTTGCTTCCATCGTGCTGCACTGCTACATTAGTTGTATACGTGGTCCTACCACCTCCTATACGTTCCTCTTCATCTATGCTGTAATGAAAACAGAGAAAAGGAAGACATACTAAATTTATGGATTTAGAATTTTTGCAAGCTCTTCTAAGGATAAGGCCTTTAGGCTACCTGGAATAAAGATGTCCCATGTTTGGGTATATGGGTGTCACCGAGGGTTCGAAATCCTGACCCTGTTTAGGACAAAAAAAAAAAAACTCTACGAACCCTACCCCGTGTAGGACAACACCTTCTATTTTTACTACGGACCCTGTTTAGGACAAGAAAAGAAGGTCATGAAGTCCTTAGGTATCACAGTGACATCAGTTTCTGTCATCATGATATCAAACACAAAGAAACTAGACCGACTGCTACGTTCTGGTCAATATGCGCTTGTTATGATGTTAATTAAATGGGAAAATAATTTAAATTAAAAGATACCGGCAACAATAGCTTTACTCTTCCCCTGAAACGATCTGATGTTGACTGATGACCTTGTAAAGACTAATAACTTTCAGGAAAAGTCAAGAAGTTAAGCTGCTATTTACGGTTTGATTGGTTTTAATTGTTTTTCTTTAAGGAATTTTACAAAGAAGATGGATTTTGTGTGCCTCTCGCCTCCAAGCTAAATATAGGGAAGATTTACTGACCTGTAATTCTTGCCTTTCAATCGTTTTAAAACTGCATCACTTAGTTCAGTTTCAGTTCATTTCAGTTTTTTTATTGCACACTGTTTACAGACCTTGCACACTGTTTAAGATTTGGATTTCAGCTATTCATAAATATAATATCGTTTCGGAAAGCCAGCAGAAACTGATTTAAAAAATAGGGAGCCAGCGGCTACTGGGATTACAGTAGTGTTTATTTACTAAGGACGTTCAGGTGCAAGTACATAGTCACAACTGAGGCTTACGTACAATCACCTCGAAATATGGATGTATGAGCAATGAGCCAGTGCAATCTGGAGCTTGCACTAACAAAGCACTAAACTGATAGAACATGTAATTATTGGGATTTCAAACTAGAAAGAGGTTCTCCATTTGCCTACTTTATAGTATAGCCGAGTACTTTAGAGATTGCGTTTGTCGTGAATCAACTACTGCCAGCGGTCAGAGTTCACAATTTGGATCCGTTTAGTCGGATTCATTTTTCTGACGGCTTAGGTAACGTCTCAGACCGTTTTGAGTCCGTGTTAAATTAAAATTAACAACTGCAAACGGACTGGAGCAAATAGGAAAACCAGCTGGGAAAGATCGTCAACGACTTTCAGAAGTTATCAAGAAAAAAATTGATTGAATGAACTGGCAACTGTCTTAAAACTGTAGCAGCTGTCCATACACTTAGAGCGGCCCGACGAAGGACTTTGGCATTTCATTTATCATCTTATAGTTTGTCTGGTGACTGGTGATACTTATTTAAGCCTGAAGTGTTAACGAATAAGAGAGTCTATCTGCTACCCCTTCCAATCCAAATTATTTAAAAATATATAGAACCTAAGTCAGTCAGTTAGTTACTTAACCAGTCAAGGTCAGTAAAAAATATGTAACATATTCAGATTTACTTAACAATAACAAAGGAAACCACCAAAGAACAATCACCAAAGAGAGAGCTTTATGTTCAAGCAAATTCTCTGTTAAAAATAGTGTACCGCTAGTTGTGCGTGCAGACTGGTAAAGACTCGAAGTTTCAATGTCGATGAGATTTGATGGAGGGGAGCTTGAGGAGGTAACCCCCATAACTAGTGTAATCAAGTACCTTAGTCTTTTGACTGTAAGAATTACTTACTTGTTGTATAACAGTGTGTCTGGTACCCAGATGTCTTCAGGGGAAACGTGAATTTCCTGGATTCCCCCGTAATCCTTTGGGTCCCATTTCAGCAGATTGTTCTTCCAGTACTAAAGAAAAATACACAATTAGGTTACGTCATTCGCGCAGCTTCTAGAACATATTTTGATTGAGCTTTGCTGTACATTCCAGCAATAGTAACTGTAATTGCTGCGAGCATAACACAGTTGAATCACGGATCGGAATAAACGAATCAATTAAAAAAAGCCATATAGCACGAAATGTCCATCAGTTAGTGTTAATACTGTAATCGTTTTTGTATCAACGAATAGTTTTTAAATGCCAAGATGATGTCTCTATCGATCGTGGCCCGGTGGAATACGCGGAGTGCGGAGTGCGGAGTGCGGAGTGTAGAAAATGCGGAGTGTGGAAAATGAGGAGTGTAGAAAATGCGGAGTA